TATAAATGGATCTTACCTCTGAAGTATCTCCTCCTCCACTCTCCACCCCCATGGCTAGCAACAAACTTCATGGTCATATCAGATCTCTTGTGGAAACAACGAAACATTTTTTATTCTATTTTCCCACCTTCAGTCTCACCTCTTCCTTCAAACCTATCACCCTAGCTGCGTCCAATTATTTTCCTAAAATAATCTCATCATATCACTTCCTTGCACAACATGCTTAGAAGGCTTTGTGCATCTGACGGATAAGAGCCAGGCTCCTTAGCCTGACTGAAGATCATTAAGCTGTCTCCACTTCATCTCTCAGTGTGGCCTTCTTGCCCGCACTCCTACACAGGGTTCTCTCTACCTAAAGTGTCCTCCCCTCCTGTATGCTGCCTACCAAAATCAAAGACTGTTCCGGAGCCTACCTCAAATATCCTAATCCTTTCTCAAAAATCCATTTGTATTCCCCCAATATCTACCACTACACTTGATGTGCTTCATTACAGTCAGCTCAGGATGGTTCTATAGACTTATTATTATTTTTAATTTTATTTATTTTTATTTATTATTATTATTATTTTTTGGTACCCAGGAGGGCAGGAACTATAATCACCCCAGCATCCCTGGTCCCTGGTAGACTGCACCTGGCACTAGTACACACCTGGGATACAGCCTCAAATTCCTTGACACAGAAGGCTCTAAAACTTTGGGTTAGACTTCTTCAGCTGCAACAAAGATATCATTCCCTTCCTCTAGTTACATTCAAAAGCATGTCTCCTTGAAGATGAAGCTTTGGCCTGGTCCCATAGCATAGCCGTTAAATGCTCAGTGGGGTGATACCTCACATGACCAACCAGTCTGAATCCTCAGCCCTGCTGGCTTGAAAAGCATGTCAGGTGCATGTGTGTGCAGGCTCAAAATCCTGACAGGATGGAGAGATGGGGGAAAAAATTGTGGCATGACCATACCCAGGTGAGGGTTCTTTTTTCTGTCTAGTAGTACAACACCCTCTGACAATTAAAAAAAACAATAACATCTTTTACATTAAAAGTGGCAAAAAGAGGGGCCAGCAGATGGCATGGTGGTTAAGGGTGCTGGACTCCCAAATAGCCAACCACGGTCAGAGTCCCAGACCTGGAGGCTTGTTTTCTTGCTTTCTCACTTTCTCTCTCTCTCTCTCTGGAAATATTAAAATAATAATAAAGTTAAAAAAATATTTCTTTACAAAAGTGATCAAGAGAATATTTATCCCAATTCCTATGAGTCACAGAGAGGAAGAAAGCTAATAATTCCACAGCAGAGAACAGAAACCCAACAGAACAGATTTCTCTTGCACGCTGGCTTCTCTTTCCTGAGGGTTTGCCAGGGTCTCTACACGTACTGAGTGGTGCTCGGGAAAGCTAGTATGACTGTTCTTTTGTAACTGAACAAAACAACAGCTTGCCAAAGCACATCAGAGAAGATGTAGTATGGCTCCCGGCGCAACCTCAAAAGGCTTAAGAAGCAGCAGAGGCCAACTCTAATCTTGGCTCATAAAATAAGAGAATTTTCTATATTTGGCCCATATTTTTCCTCCAACAAATGATGATGCTCTAAAACTGTACTATCCCCTCCTACCCTCTTATGCTGTGGAAAAGCAAGCATCTTCCAGTTTAAATACTTCATTAAGAATGCTAACAAATGGGGCCAGCAGGTGGCATGGTGGTTAAAGGCACTGGACTCTCACATGACCAACCACAGTTCAAGTCCCGGGCCTGGTGGCATGTTTTCTCACTCCCCCCCGCCTGTCTCTCTCTGATCGAACTGGAAAATAATAATAAAAAAAATTAAATAATTCTTCTTTAAAAAAAAAAAAAAGAATGCTAATTGGCTATGCTGCTGGACTCCCATATAGTCGACCATAGTTCGAGTCCTGGACCTGGTAGCTTAAACTCACACTGGGCGTGTATGCATGCATGCCCAAGATCCCCAGAGGAGAGTGGAAGAGAAGAGAAGGGATTGCGGCATGGCCATCCTCCCAGGGGAGTGATTTCTCACTTTTTGTCTCTCTCTGTCTTTCTGGCAAGCACATGTGCCCTATAGCAAAGCAAAAACTTTAAAAAAAAAAAAAAAAAGAATGCTAACAAAGCCTGCTCCTTTACAGTATTATCATAGGAATAACTTACAGTATTATCATAGGAATAACTATAGAACATCCAGGGCCAGAATGGATCAATGTGCAGGGAAAAACAGATTGGGAAACACTGTCAGTTAAACTCCAGCTGTATTCATCCAATCCAGCCATTGCTGCTTAAGTGGAATCTCAGTATCGACTCTGGTCCTTGGATATCTATTCATCTCATTCTAAATGAATTACGATGTTAGAAAATACTGCTAATAACTTTTTTTTTTTTTTGGAGAGATTTTCACTATAGGGCGCGTGCGCTCACCAGACAGACAGAGAGAGACATAGAGACAGAAAGCGAGAAATCACCCCCCAGGGGGGATGGTCACGCCACAATCCCTTCTCCTCCATTCTCCTCTCGGGATCTTGGGCATGCACGCACACGCGCCTGGTGTGAGTTTTAAGCCACAGGGTCCAGGATGCGAACCGCGGTCAACAACATGGGAGTCCAGCGACATAGCCATTACACTAACTGCTGGTTCCCGCTAATAACTTTTGAAAGGTAGAACTGTCTATGAATGTCATGGTCAAATTCAACCCATGAATGTGCCTGCAGATGACTCTAATCACAAAAAATCACCCACAGTAAATACTGACTAACCATTAAAACTTTGGTGACAAATAAATTTATCAAATTTGTTGTTCACGGAGAATTTCAAAATCTCCCTAAGTCCAAGATTTAAATATGCGTCCCCAGAAAACACAAAACTGAGTGCTAGGTGCTAGGTGCTGAGGCAACTGGTGCTGAATGAATGGAAGAGTGGCTGAATCAGCACATAACAAGCACTGAAACATGAACAAAGGAAAGGAAAAAACTGTTCCCTAACTGCTCGGGAATCACATTTTCACAGTTGAGTTTTTTGGTTTTTGTTTTTCTTTTTAAATCCAAAACCTTTCACCTGCACGTGGCTTAGTGGCACCTTTCTGATATAAAGAAGCTTACATTCTATAGACATGTTAAGCATGATAAAAAATACTAAATACGGATGAATACATAGCTAAGACAACACGGTTCTGAATTTCAGTAAGCAGTGGCTGAAATCTAAACAAAGATCTGAAAAATGGGAGAAATAAACTACAAAAGGCACACTGACTCAACTGAGTCTGATCCGAGATGCTGCTGGGGTGTGAGATGGGGGTAAAGGCCCCTTCTGCTCAAGATTTTAGTGAGCCAATAAGGCACATCCAGTGAGCTTAACCTGGATCTGCTCTACAAATGCACATGGCCAGTTAGTGTCCTCGAGTTACCTACAGCCGAAAGGCAGAGAATGCAAGGCAGAGAGCAGAACTGGGAGCAAGCCTCCTGCTAAGAGCCAGGCAACAAGAAGGTAAGTTTTACGCTGAGTCAAAGACAGCTCTGACATCATGGATTCAGCACTAGCTACACCCAGCATCAAATGGCATTGACTTAGATATTTCCATAGTGTTTTTTTCTGAAAGCACCAGTAAGCAGAGTGTAAAGAAAGTTAATTTAGGGCCAGCAGATGGCATGGAGGGTAAGGTGGCTGGATCCCACATGGCTAACTGCATGGTTCGACACCGGGACCCCTGGCAGTTTGAAAAACACGCTGGCCATGTGTATGTGTATGCCCAAAATCTCAGAGGAGAATGGAGAAGGGACCACAGTGTGGTCATTCCCTTTGAGGAGTGATTTCTCATTTTCCCCCCTTTCCGTGTCTCTCCAGTAGGCATATACATCCTATGGAGAACAAACAAAACTGATTTAAAAACAAAAACTCAACAAGCTATTCTGGTAATCCTGTCTCCAAAATGTCACAAGGTAATAAAGAAGTTGTTTTGGAAATCTAAGTATGACAAATTTGGGACCAATGCATATATACTTATTAATACTCTGTTCCAAGTCAAAAGTCAGGAGACCCAACCAGTGACACGAAGGCTGAAACATGACTTACAGGGCACCCCTCTACCGTGCAGGACCCAATGTGCCAGGTTTGAAATACCCAGGTCCTAAACTCAGCTCTGCTGCCTGCCCTTGTGGCCATGTCAACATTTATTAACAGAAAGAAGAAAAACAGAAAATCAAACAGCTTATTCAAAGAACTTGTCTTTGGTAACTAATAAAGGCAGAGGGCACATGCAGTGAGACTAGAGAGAGACAGAGAGAGAGAGAGAAGAGAGAAAGTGAGAGAGCACCCCAGTGGGGGTTGGCCTTGCTATAATACCTTCTCCTTCACCAGAGATTCTGGGCACATAAGCGCACGTGCCTGCAGTGTCTTTCACACCATCAGGTCCTGAACTTGAACTGTACAGTCAGCAGTATGGGATCCAGCAGCCCCAACCACACCACTGGCTTATCCACAAAGGCTGATCTTAAATCAACCTACAAATATTTTATCGCACTGATCTACTGGTTGCTGTAAGAAAAACTCATCATCTACGCATGAAGCATGATCTCGATCCTTAGGGAACATCAAGTTGGAAAGAGGTAAACGAATAATCAGCCACGCTATATTTAATACAGCAGAAGGAAGTTAAAAGGAGCGTAAGACTGACTGTCAAGTGACAATCAGGGAGCAGTTCAGCTTCATGTCAGCACTAGGGAGTGGCATGGGAATGCTCTTCCTATCCTACCCTCACACATCCCCCGCCAGGGATGGAGCTGTTCAGGGTATAATCCCTCCAGGCAGAACTTCAGTTGGTGCAAGGCCACCATCAACACTGTGCCTACCCAGCCTGCCCCTGCTGCATCCCCACAGACATCACTCTACTCTTTTTCTCCCAAGGCTGGTCATGCACCGTAGTGTCAGCCTTCTCAAGGCACTCCTTCCCCTCAGGAAAGGCTCTTCTAAGTGACCTGTACGACCTCCCTGCCAAGGCCCTCAGCTACCTCTGGCTTGCTGTCGACCACATCCACCTCAAGGTTGACTTCTGCTTGAAGGATTTTCTGCTTAGCTTGCTCCACTGCCAAACTGAGTTTCTGTATGTAGGACTGCAGCTCTTCTGGAGAGTCCATGTTCAGCTCGATCAGAGCTTTGTGAAACTGATCCATCTGGCCATCCTCTAGAAGTTCCTGAAACCAGAGCAGTCACTAGTCATCCTCAAAGGCAAACACTGCAAAGCAAATCACCAACAGAAAGGAAAAAGAAGTAGCTTAAAAGCTGAACAGAGGGCTCCCAGGGCTACCCCAGCAACCCCTCCACAGACTCAGCCTCCAGCTCCCACTGAAGTTTCCTGTAGCTGCTCTCCTCTCCAGCTGTCTCTAGTCTAGTGCTACACCTTGGCTGCAGCAAACCTCATCAGTCAAAACTCATCTAGGTAACAGATGCCAACGTGCCAGGTAAATGCTGTTACCTTTTGTTGGGGGCAGGGGAACAGTTATGAGAAAAACTGAAGGCTTCTAGGATGCAGGTAATGCTGTTTCTTAATCTGACAGCAGATATGTGATGTGTTTCACTGTGAAAATTCAGTGAGCTGTACACTTAAGATCTGTGTATAATGCATCACGTGCACTCCGCAAATTAAAGTCAGAAAAGATAAGGCGATAAAGGCAAAGATAAGCAACGTCAATAAAGCTGGAGTCCACGGCTCTTTGAGGAACACCTATGCTATGGTGTACTCTGTACTAACATCTCTACGCTCCTGATCCCCTGGACTCTTTCATGACCCCATGGAGACAGAGTCAGTGGATGCATTTGATAGCTGAGGAAGGATATACAGGAAGTGGGGCTGGCAGGTGGTATGGTGGTTAAGGCAATGGATTTCCACATAGCCAACTGTGGTTCAAGTCCCGGACCTGGTGGTTTGCTTTATCACTTTCTCTTGATCTTTCTCTCTCACACTCTGTCCTTCTCTGGCCAAATAAAAATAAATAAATAAATAAAATTAAGTAAAATTAATTCTTTTTTTTTTAAAAAAAAGCGTATACAGAAGGAAAATGTTCTGGGATTGTTTTGTTGAAAGCTGGGGACCAGCCGGCCCTTGCTACCACCTGTACATAAAGCAGTCTGTCCAGCCGCTCCTGGTCCAGCTGCAGCTTCTCCTCCCGCCGCCGTGCATTGAGCTCCTGCAGCCGCCGCAGCTGCTGCTGCCGCCTTTCCTGTTTCTCCTCAGAGGTCAGGGTGCTGCCGAGGAGTTTGCTGGAAAATGGGAGCTGCATCTTATGGACGTTGTTCTCATAATAATCAGGGCACTGCCATTTCTGCAATTCTTCAAAGGAACAATTTTGAAAGTCATGAAAGGAAAATACTATTAACACAAAAATTAAGACATCAATACCAGAGTTCCAAATACAGATAAGATGGGGAGAAAATACTTTTACCCAATGCCTGGATGCATGCAATCAACTAAATGAAGCTATTGAACCCGGACATGCCAACAGGACTGTCATAAAAGAATGCTTAAACAGGGTCAGCAGGTAGTGCAGTGGCTGGGGCAGCTGGATCCCATATGGCCAACTGCATTGAGGACCATGCCAGGCATGTGTGCTTGGAGGAGAGTGGACCGCAGTGTGGCCATTCCCCATGGGGAGGGATTTCTCACTTTCTCTCTCTCTTTTGCTCTGTCTCTCCCTCTACAGTGAGCACATGTGCTTTACAGCAAACTAAAAAAAATAAAATTTTAATAAAGAAAATAAAATTGTTTGTTAAATAAAGTTTCTCATATGGAAATGATACGGGAAGGAAGCATGGAATGTCAGGAA